TCTTTCTCTCTCTCTCTCTCTTTCTTTCTTTCTTTCTTTCTTTTCTTTTCTTTTCTTTTCTTTTCTTTTCTTTTCTTTTCTTTTCTTTTCTTTTCCCTCCCTCCTTCCCTTCCCTTTTCTTTCTTTTCTTTTCTTTTTGGGACAAAGTCTCACTCTGTTGCCCAGGCTGGAGTGCAGTGGCACTATCTTGGCTCACTGCAACCTTCACCTCCTGGGTTCAAGCGATTCTCCTGCCTCAGCCTCCTGAGTAGCTGGGACTACAGGCATGCCACCACGCCCGGCTAATTTTTGTATTTTAAGTACAGACAGGGTTTTGCCATGTTGCCAGGCTGGTCTCCAACTCTCGACCTCAGGTGATCTGCCCTCCTCAGCCTCTCAAAGTGCCGGGGTTGCAGGTGTGAGCCACTGCACTTGGACTCCCCTGGAGTTCCTAAACTGGGGTCATTCATGTGTCCTGGTATTTTTGTTTGTTTGCTATATTTTATGTTCCCAGGATCCCATATTTACTTGATTCAGCATTTTCCCCTCAACCAACTCTCTTGTTTCACCTACATACATATATTTCAAAACGAAACTTCATAAAGACTTCAACAAAGGTGGAAGTGCGGCCAGGTGCAGTGGCTCATGGGCAGATCACTGGAGGTCAGGAGTTCAAGACCAGCCTGGCCAACATGGTGAAACCCCCATCTCTCCTAAAAATACAAAAATTAGCCGGACGTGGTGGTGGGCGCCTGTAAGCCCAGCTACACAGGAGGCTGAGGCAGAAGAAACACAGTGAGCCGAGATCATGCCATTGCACTCTAGCTTGGGCAACAAGAGGGAAACTCCATCTCAAAAACAAAACAAAACAAAAAAACCAGCAACAAAAAAACCACAAGGGAGGGGAGATTGCAGGTGAAGGGCTCTACCCAAAAGGAAATCATTGAAGAGCACAGTGCATTTCTGGAGGTGATGAACAGGTCTTAGCTCCATGGCTGTGGCAATGACATCACAGCTGTCTGCACACGTCCAAACTCCTCAGGATGTATACATTAAATATGCATCATTTTTATATCTCAGTGATGCCTCCATAAAGGTAGAAAACAAATTCCTCTGTCCTTATCGGAAATGCACCTGGCCCCCAATTTGGAAAATGAGTGGTCACTCTCTCCCTGCAGTGTTCTGCGGCTGTAGGCACCTGTCATCCTGCCCTCGATGGCTCCCTCCGCCCCCCTGGCCCTCCTCCTCCTCTTGCTGAGCCTGGCAGAGACTCCGGCATCTGCGCCTGCCCACCAGGTAATGCCTCGCCTCCCTAAGCGCCTCGGAAACAATGCTGTCCCCAAATCCCTGCCCTCTGGGAAGAGTTTTAAAAAATGTTCCTGGCTTGCGTCAGGGGTCCTGGGGAAGAAGCTGAAGTCCTGAAACTATGAGAAGAAAGACAGACACTGACTTCATCTTGGCTCTGGGATAGAACAAAGTATGGGTGAAAAATACAAGGTCAGGGTTCAGGGTGCTCAAAGCTAAAACCTCCTCACAGCAAGCATTGCCCAGCGATGCAAAAATATGCCTTCCTGTCACTCCTGTTTTTCAGCACCTCAGGATGTGTGAGAAGTAGCTAGAAGGCAACTTAAAGTAATTCTGGGACCCTTCAGCCAGGCGCAGTGTTTCACACCTATAATCCCAGCACTTTGGGAGGCTGAGGCGGGCGGATCACCTGAGGTCAGGAGTTCGAGACCAGCATGACCAACATGGTGAAACCCCATCTCTAATAAAAATATACAATATTAGCTGGGCCTGGTGGCGCGTGCCTGTAATCCCAGGTACTTGGGAGGCTAAGGCAGCAGAATTTCTTGAACCTAGGAGGCGGGGGTTGCCGTGAGCTGAGATCGCACCATTGCACTCCAGCCTGGGCAACAAGAGTGAAATGTTGTCTCAGAAAAGAAGAAGAAGAAGAAAAAGTAATACTGGGACCCACCCCCGGGGTTTCTGGTTGGGTGAGTCCAGGGTAGGGGCTAGTCCTGGGATCACACTTTGTTGTTGTTGATTTTTTGTTTGTTTGTTCCTTTGAGATGGAGTCTCTGCCACCCAGGCTAAAGTGCAGTGGCTTGATCTCGGCTCACTGCAACCTCTACCTCTGAGGTTCCAGCAATTCTTCTGCCTCAGCCTCCCAAGTAGCTAGGATTACAGGTGCCTGCCACCATCCCTGGCTAATTTTTTGTATTTTTAAGAAGAGATGGTGTTTCACCACGTTGGCCAGGCTGGTCTTGAACTCCTGACCTCCTGGCTTTAAGTGATCCGCCCACCTTCGCCTCCCAAAGCACTAGGATTACAGGTCTCAGCCACCGCACCCAGCCTGGGGTGACACTTTGAAAACCTCTGATTGCATACCTCCACAGTGTGGGCTGTACATGCTGGGTTGAGTTTGAAATCCGGGATCTGTGATTTTCTAGCTGTGTGACTTCAGGCACGTTGCTTAACCTCTCTGGTCTCTGAATGGATCTTCTTTGTCCAGTTCCAGCACTATAAAAGTTAACAGTGTTAACTCAGATGGCAGACAGCTCTCATTATTTAGCCAAGAGGAGTAAATAATTAAGAGATGTTGGTCTGGGGATACACAGTTTCAGTTGGACGGGAGGAATGAACATGGTGGCTGTTGTTAACAACAAGGTGTCGTATACCTGAAAATCGCTAAGAGAGCAGATGGATGTTCGGTGTTCCGGCCACAGAAAGGACAAGCACATGACATAATGCAGATGGTAACTAACTTGATGGAGTCACTCCACAACGTGGACTATTTCTACACATGTTGTGCACCATGTCTGGATTTAAAATGCAAATTTTCTCTGCCAATAAAAAAAAAGCGTCCAGGCACAGTGGTTCACCCCTGTAATTCCAGTACTTTGAGTGGCTAAGACTAGAGGATTGCTTGAGCCCGGGAGTTGGAGACCAGCCTGGGCAACATAGTGAGACCCTCTATCTCTTTAAAAAAAAAAAAAAAATTAATGGCCTGGTGTGATGGCTCACGCCTGTAATCCCAGCACTTCGGGAGGCCAAGGCAGGTGGATCACAAGGTCAGCAGATTGGGACCATCCTGACTAACACCGTGAAACCCTGTCTCTACTAAAAATACAAACAATTAGCTGGGTGAGCTGGTGGCTACCTGTCGTCCCAGCTACTTGGGAGGCTGAGGCAGGGGAATCACTTGAACCCAGGAGGTGGAGGCTGCAGTAAGCTGAGATCACGCCACTGGACTCCAGCCTGGGTGACAGAGTGAGACTCTGTTTCAAAAAAAAAAAAAAATTAGCTGGGTATGGTCGTGCGTGACTGTAGTCCCAGCTACTCAAGAGGCTGAGGCATGAGAATTGCTTGAACCCAGGAGGTTGAGGTTGCAATGAGCTGAGATGGTGCCACTGCACTCCAGCCCAGGCGAAAGAGCAAGACTCCATCTCAAACAAAGAAACGACAAAGAGAAAAAGAACAGAAAGGAAAGAAAGAAAATGAAAGAAAGGAGAGGAAAGAAATGCTAACAACAGCAACCACAGAGAGGTCAGGCTTGGCATCTGCTGCCCTGAGTTGGGACAGCAGCTCTCCTCCGTGCTGGCTGGGTCCTTGCCAGGATATTTGTTTCTTTGAGCCTCCTTTTTTCCTATATAACTAAGGGATAATGGAATCCATCCTATAGGGATGTTCAAGGAGTTTTGACAAGAGCTGATGGGCGTGGAGTGTTTTCTCAGCGCTTGGGCATTGCCTGAAACCCGTGATGTGCATTAGCTAGTTCTACCCCGCAATCCTTTGCCAGTTTCCATTTTGCTACTTCCCATCTTACAGAGTGGAACACTGTGGCGAAAATATTCAGTGCACATCCTCCTCAAGAGTCTCGAATCTACTGGCCTGCAGGAGTGGAGGCTCACGCTTGTAATCCCAGCACTTAGGGAGGCTGAGGCGGGCAGATCACCTGAGGTCAGGAGCTGGAGACCAGCCTAGACGACATGGTGAAACCCCGTCTCTATTAAAAATACAAAAATTAGGCCGGGCGCGGTGGCTCAAGC